ATCTTCGCCTAGCGGTGGCTGCGAGCTAGGCTGATAGAAGAAAGGCACCAGCACAGGGATAAGTTCAAGCTGGATCATTCCTCGCACAGTATCAGAATTCATCAGACTACTTTGCACTACTAGCTGAGTACACCAGCGAGATAGCTTTTGTCCGCGGCACAAGCATGCATGTACGGGGAAGACACCATTGGTAATACCGATTTGGTATCATACAGATGATGACACCAACAAGTAGGATACAAAGTACAATGCAGACAGGCACGGTGGAGTTCTTTGTAGAAATTCATTGTTCCTGAGGAACAATGCTCCTATTCCGCTTTCAGAGTACTACTCTCAGTGGCACTCAGCTTGTCTGGCACTCGTAGTTCCTCGGAGCACGTCATGGTTCTCAACGTTAGCTGGATGACGCATAAGTCGTTGATGTGTTACTGTATCACAGTCCACTACCTTAGGTTACCATCGTATTTCCCTACTACTGACCGAGGCGTCCTGACCTTGCCTTGCTACATTGGAGATGCACCCGTTACTCGCGGCAAAATGGCATTAACCGCGATAGGATAATCGCAGACGCCGCGAAGTGCTGATCGACTCCATTACATCCGATGTAATACATAGCGAAAAGAACGTTACTGAAGGCCGCCTTTTCTGGAGACCTACGCTGCGTTTCCCGGTATACCTTATCTCTCGCGATTTTCGGATATTGAATGACCGCATTCTATATGGCCATGACGGTCACCTACCTTCTGAACACGACATGCTTACGTGAGAAATCCTATACTTACTCTCCTCACATATGCTTGACAATTAAGGATATTCGAACTATGTGAGCTGAGCTCACTGAGCTCAGACTATGCGGAAAATGTAATCTGAACGCAGTGCACAGTGTGCACTGCACAGGTGAGCTCCGTCTCATCTAACCCCATAATTCGTTCGTCGGCTGAATGCAGATAAGTGGGGTGAAAGAACACAGGTGAGTCACCCTGTGCTAGGGAAAATCCGTAGTAAATGAGCAGGGGGCATTGTCATGGATCGTAGATCATGCATCGATCAAAGAGCAATGAGAAAATCGAATGCATAGAACCTACTCAATGAATAAAGTTGAGGTCAATACCAAGGTACAGTTCTGGACATATGTCCAGGACATGTGACCTATTCTGTGATCGTGAGTTATTGACACATATCATGTGTTGAAAAGCAAACAATCAAAGATCAGTCAATTCATGGCTGGAAGCGACCCTTGGACCGCGTCGTCTATGCCACAGTCACCTTGGGCTATTTTGAAGGTGCCATGGTCACCCCATCCTTCATTCCAGGAGTTCATAACCAGCCAATAATCAACTCCCTTCTCAGTACCCCAGCCAATAATCTCAACAGAATGATCCCCAAAGTATCCGCCACTCGTATGCTTGTAGACACCAGACTTGTAGGAAGAAAAGTCTTCATACGTAGAGA